CCCCTGCCAGCTGCTGCCCCCAGAGTGCCCGAACTAACTTCCCCGCAGCTGTTTTGGGAGAACTTGGAAACCACATCCCCAAGAGGATGAACTGTTTAGACTGTCTCTCCCTGACACAGAGGCCCAGGAAGTCATAGCTCAGAGAAGTCAAGTTTCCTCTCCCATCTGGACCCCGCCCCAGACCACCCCACTGTGGCTGTGACTTGGCTTTCAATATGCTTCCCTACAACACGGCCATTGGGTTGTCCCAAGCGGGGTTGCTTGGTGCACTCCAGGTCCCTTCAAAATGCTCATCCTAGGAGCCCAGAGAGATGGGGCAGGGCTTAGGCCCCTCTTGTGCATGCTGCTGACTCGTTTGATCTCTGGCACCACACATAGTCCCCTGGGCACGACCTGGGGTGATCCCTGAGCATAGAGCAGGAATAAGCCCTGCACACTGCCAGGTGTGGCCCAAAGAGAAAAGCTCACTCTAAAGGCCAGAGAGATAGCAGAGGGGTTAAGACGCTTGTCTTATACGCATTCAAAGTTTGAATTTTGGGCAACTCCTGGCCCCCCGAGCACCACTGGGAAAGATCCCCAAACACCACTGAGTATGGCCTAACTTTCCTCATTCCATCCTCCCCCAAAGCAAAGCAAACCAAACCAAACAGAAAACCAATGTCCGTCCTGAGGAGGGCTTCTTGGGAAAGCCAGACGCTAGCCTTTGTTCCTAGTAGAAATGTGATTATCCTTGTGACCTGTGTGATGATAAAGCGAATTAGTGGGGGCTGGCTGCTCCCTCGCACACCCACTGGTGCACTGCCCAGGTGTTTGGAGCTGGGGAGCCCACCTTCTCATTTCCTTTCTTTCCGAGGGGTGCTCAGGGGGCCTTGGGGCCACTCCCAGTGATGGTCCTGCAGTGTGTTGCTCAGATTCAGTGGCCACTATGGCCACTAGCGCCACTCCCAGCAGTGCTTGGGGACCATACCGTGATCTGGATTGAACTTGGGCTTTGAGGATTCAAGGCATGACCCCACTGCCAGGAACTCTGCCCAAATTTCCTCCTCTGCTTCCTTTTTGACTCACTAGCGGGCTGGGCCAGGCCAAGGAAGGCTGGGCTGGGAGGCTCAGGCAGAAACTCCAGGTTCCCATTTTAGTGCAACTCCAGCCTGTTAGCAGGTCACTAGCCTTCTCTGGCTACAGGATAGTGCCATCTCTGTCCTACTTCACCTTCTCTTCTGGCTCAGCAGAGGAGACAGAGAGAACAGAGTCCAAGTCCCACCCAGAGGTGTCGTTAATGATTATGCTCACGGAAGAAATTTTGCACTCAATGCAATGCTCAGTCAATGGGAAATTTTGCTTCCTTAGGTGTTCTAGGACGTGGAAATGTTCCAGGAAATCCTTTTGGCATCTTTTGGAACCATGGAACTCATCACTTCGGTGTTGAGCAAATTTTGCTCTTGTGCCAGTGCTCTACCAGGTGTTGGGGTCCCAGTGCCCAAAGAGTCTCAGTCTGGAGGTGGGGGAGTGGCAGATACACCCCACAGAAGGATGCGAGGCACACAGGATGTCATGGGAGGCTCGGAGTCCAGGCTGGAGGCCTGGAGAAATCCTTGAGAAGGGTGTCCTTGGGATGAGCACATAGGGGAGCAGGGAGCAGCGGCAAGGAGGAGGAATGGTGTTTGGGACTGAGGGAACAGAATGGGCAAAGGGTGCTTACCTTCCTCTGTGCTGTGGAGCTGAGAACGTGCAGCTGGGAGGTGAGAGTGATTCTGAATGTGTGTGTGGAGATGTGTGTTTGTAAGGGGTGGGATGGGGTATAAGATGGAGGGGACAAGAGGGGCAGGAGAATGACCTGAGCTGAGCCCTGGCAAGGCTGAAATTCCTGCAGCTTATTAAGTCTCCAGCATGTGTTACGTGTTTCTTTTTCTCTTCTTCTTCTTCTTCTTCTTCTTCTTCTTCTTCTTCTTCTTCTTCTTCTTCTTCTTCTTCTTCTTCTTCTTCTTCTTCTTCCTCCTCCTCCTCCTCCTCCTCCTCCTCCCCCCTCCCCCCCTCCTCCTCCTCCTCCTCCTCCTCCCCCTCCCCCCTCCTCCTCCCCCTCCCCCCCTCCTCCCCCTCCTCCCCCCCTCCTCTTCCTCCCAGCTCTGCACTCAGGAATTACTCCTGATGGATCTCAGGGGACCATATGGGATGCCGAGGATCAAATCCAAGTTGCCCTCAGGCAAGGCAAACTCCCTACCTGCTGTACTGTGGCTCCAGCCCTGAACCAGCATGTGTTTCAAGCTTTGTTTTCTTCAAAAAAGTGGAATAGAGAAGAACATGAGATGAAAACCAAATTCAGTTTATCAGAGTGGGGCCCAAGCGGGGGGCGGGGGGGTGCGGACTGGGAGCAGACCCACGGCCAAAGGGGACCACCCTGCCATGCCAGGTCTCAGACTAGTTCAGAAAAGCCAGCCCTTCTGCGTTTTTATGGGCTGTCTTTCCATTGTTAAATGTTGGTAACTAATTAACAATAACAACAACAAAACCACTGTGGGCAAGACAAAATGCTTCTGTTTGTCCATTTGTTCCACGGGCTTGTGGCTTGTGAGGCTGGATGGATACAGAGACGTCTATGGATATGGATTTGGATCAAGCACTTGGATCCCCTGCAGGATCCTGATGAGCTGTGCTAGGCTTCAGGGTACTAGGAACACTTGTGGGGGTGGGGGGGGCAGGATTGGCTTTTGCCTTAAAGCCTAACCGTAGCTGGAAATAGTTCAAGTCAGTAGTTCTAGTCCAGAGCCAACACACAGAGCCACAAAAGCACTGAATCGTTAAGTGCTGCAGGGCCCAGAGGAGGGGCTGGTCAGGGGGACAGGGGAGGCTCCCTGGGAATTCTGGGAGAGGCACAGGGCCCAGGCCCAGGCCCAAAGGGTCAGGCTTTTCTGGCTGGAGCTCTCAGACAGAAGAGAGTTAGGCTGGGGGTTAAGCAGATCCCAAAGGCTGCAGATGCTGGTCCAGGGAGGGGTCCTCCAGCTCTGTTGTCTGAACTTTGGTTTCAGGCTCAATGCTATGAGCTCCAAGGTCATCTGATGGACACCCGAAGCTCTTCTTCCCACATGGCTGGGATTCCAGAAACCTTCCTCTCCACGTTCAGGGCCGTGGCTCCCCCTGGAAGGGAGCACCAGCAGGGCAGGACCGCCCGGTGGGCTCCCTGATGCCTCCTGCTTTTCTGGTACAGTGTCTGGAACACAGGCGAGGCTCAACCCACCTCTCCTGGCCTTCTGCTAGAGCCCAGTGTAGCAGTGCTTGTGGAGCGCGTGCGTGTGTGTGTGTGTGTGTGTGTGTGTGTGTGTGTGTGTGTTCTGACAGCTCTGACATAGCTGAGGACAAGCTCTATGGGGCCGGACAATGGGCTAGCAAACAAGTCAATGAATGCAGCTATTACTCAGAGGTGAACGCCTGAGAGAGTTCTCACGCCACGGTGCTGACCTTGTGATCTCCTCCTGCACTCCTAAATTGCAGGGCTGGGCTCTGTCTGGTCCCTGATGTCACTCCTACCATGTAAGGCCGGTGTCTAACAGACACTCGTTTAAAAAAAAATTTTTTTTTAAATTGGTTGAAGAAATAACTACAGTCAACAAAGATCTGGCCTCTATACCTGTGCCCTTAGGAGGCCCCAGACACATTATTATCATCCCAGGAGTAATTGCTGATAAGCCCAAGTGTGAATTTCATTGCAAACAGAGGTAACAGGGCAGTGTTTAAGAACAACAGGGATAATCTTAATGAAGGACCTACTGACTGTAATTAATTGCATCCTAGCCCCAGGCCCTTTTTGGGACTGGCAGAGAGAACCCAGAGACTGGCGGAGTGGAGCAGAGACAGGGAGGGTGAGGAGCGCTGAGATCTTTCCACCAGTTCCAGCTTGGTGAGCTCTGGCCAGCGACGGCTCTGAGCCTCAGTTTCCTCAGCAGGAAGATAAGGCTGTGGCGCTTGGCTGGTGGTGTTCCAAAGCCCACAGCACAGCCAGACCTTACTGCCAGCCCCACTAGGTCAAGGGGCTATGACTGGGGGCTCAGGGTACCCGGCTGATCTCAGGCTCCACCTGGAGGTCTTTGTTTTATTTTGTTTTAGTTTTGGGGCTACACCTGCCATGCTCAGGGGGTAACTCCCCGCTCTGCACTCAGGCATTACTCCTGGCGGTGCTCAGGGAACCATATGGGATGAGGGAGATCAAACCTGGTTCCGGGAGAGTGCAAGGCAAGCGCCCTACCGGCTGTGCTGTCTCTCCAGCCTCAGGGGGCTGGAGATCTTAACGCCTGAGTCTGGGTGTGGAGTCACCTGCTGGGGAGTGTGGTTTCCAGGATCAGCCCAGGAATCTGTCCCGTTTCTAGAGAACTTTGGGGGGGACAAACTCCAGCACAGGAGGAGTAACCAGTAGCCGTGGGATGGCGGAGAAGAGGAGGAGGAGAGGAAGAAGAGAGGAGGAGGAGGAGGAGGAGGAGGAGAAGGAAGAAGAGAGAAGGAGGAGGAGGAGAAAGAAGAACAGAGGAGGAGGAGGAATAAGAAAGGAGAAGAGGGAGAAGAGAGGAGAGATAAGAGAGGAGGAGGAGGAGAGGAGGAGGAAGAAGAGAGGAGGAGGAGGAGGAATAAGAGGAGGAGAGGGAGGAGGAGAGGAAGAAGAGAGGAGGAGGAGTAAGGGAGGAGGAGGAGGAGGAGGAGGAGGAGGGCGGGGCAGTGATGCGGGGACCTTCCGTTGGGCGGAGACACTGGGGTGGCGGAGGGCGGGGGTGCGCGTGGAGCGGGCCTCAGTTTCCCCGCGGGGCTCGCCAGCGGCGGCGTGGGCGTGGCCGCCGCGGGGGCGGGCGGGGGGCTCGTCCGCCGCTCGGCCCCGCCCCGCTCCCACCCGCGGCCCGCGCGGCCCCGGCCGGCAGGGGTTAAGCGGTGACTTCAGCGGGCGGCGGCCGGAGCAGGCCGTGGGGCGCGGGCAGTCCCGGCCGGCCGCGGGCTGGCCACGGGCGCGGGCGGCGGCGGCGGGCGCGGGGCGGCGGCCCGGCCCTGGGCGCCCGCCGCGGCCGGGGCAGCGGAGCGCGGGGCCGGCGGCCGGCGCCTTTGTGAGCGGCGCGGACACAACAAAGGCGCGTCCGGGCGGCCGGGCCGGTGAGTGCGGCCGCGGGGCGCGGCGGGAGGGCTGGGGGGCGTCCGGGGGAGTGGCGCCGAGTCCCGTTAGCCGGCCCGCGGGCTCCGTGGGCCTGGCGTGTCCCGAGCCCTGCGGGGGCGCCCGGCCCTTCAGTCCCTCCGTCCGTCCGTCGGTCCGTCGGTCCGTCGGTCCGTCCGCGCGGAACCCCCCCCCCCCCCCCCAATCAGAGGCCGGCGCTTTCCCGGGGACCCCCGGGACCCGAGCGGTGTGTCGGCCACAGTCCTGGAACCGGGGTCTGTCTCCGTGCGTGGGGGGCGGGGGGGGGGCTCCTGGTGTCATCTGAGTGTGTCACGAGTGTGTGCGCCCCGGGCCCTGGGGGCCAGTGCATGGCCTGCCCCTCCGTGGGACTCCTGACCCGGCTTTGTGCGGGAGGCAGAGGACCGAGAGAAGGTTCTGGGAGGGGCAGTTTGGGAATCGGGCACCCACACTCCATGCTTCACTTTCCCCTGCTCTGTCCCCCATTGGCTTGGGGGAGTGGAGGAGTCTAGGGTCCGCCTGTCCGGAGCTGGGCAGCCTCAGGAGGGGAGCAGGGGAAGAAAGGGTGCCCTGGGCCACTGGTGGCCACTCAGCCCAGCCAGGCCAGGACTGATGCTCCTTGAGCCTGAAAGAGTGTGTGTGTGTGTGTGTGTGTGTGTGTGTGTGTGTGTGTGTGTATGGGGGTGCCTTGCTGAGGATGCAGATCAGCCCACTTGGCTTCCAGGGTGACCTCAGCAGAGGAGGGGGCGGCCAGCCTGACCTGCCTGGTGTCCAGGAGGGGAGTGAGATAGCGCCTCCATCCCTCTCCCTGGGGTGGGGTCCTGGCCCTCTCCCTTCTAGCCCCCTCAGAAACCCTTTTTGAGCCTGGAGATCCTGAGGACAGCCCCACCCCCAGATCACAACAGGGCTGGGGAGGGGCGTTGAGTCCCCATGGCTGGTGCTGAACCATCTGAGCCCTCGGCTTCCCCAAGGGATTGGAGCAGGGGCTAGCCCCGCCCTGCTCACCCGCAGCCCACCTGCCCCTCAGTGCCCGGGAGGAAGCCTGGTGTGTCTGACCCATTCAGACACTCAGCTGTTTCTTGTCACCCTGAGTGGCCTGAGTGGCCATCATCTGAGCACCCAGCACACTGTCCGCATGTCTGTCCACCCACCCTCCTTGTGTCCGGGCCTGGGGTGTAGCGACTAGAAACCCAAACTCTGCGACTTTGCATCGGGAGTGCCCGTTTCCTTGTGCTCTGTCTCTGGAGGGTCTGAGTCTGACTCCCACCCAGTCCTGTCCCTGTGACACACACTTCCCGCATCCCTGCTCCTGCCTCATCCTCAAAAAGCCTCCACCCCCCCTCCAGGAAGCGGGCTGGGTCTTCACCTGCTCCCTCTTGGAGTCTTTCCCTCCCCGCTCGCTCGCTCAGTCAGGTTGCCCCCAGGATTCTTGTTCATGAGCCTTTCCGAGTCTGTGCCCCAGGTGCTCAGGACCCCTGCCTGTCCTTGACCTCTGACTTGGAGCAGTCACTCACACATTGGCTCAGTAAACACCTGTGGAGGACTTGAGGGTCCAGTTCCTAAAGGCTCCTAAAGTCCGCCGCTTCAAGTTCTAACTTCAGAGCAGACTGGGGGAGGGCAGGGGGGGCCAGTGGACTCCTCTGGGCCCAGGTACCGGGTCAGTGTGAGTGAAAGGCCCCATTGATGTGACCAATAGCAGATGAATGAACTGATAGGCATAGCACACTTATTTCTATGCCCCTGCCCCCAGTGGCTTAATTTTCTCTGGTTTCAATTACTTGTAGTCAGCCTGGGTGTGAAAATTGGATTCAGAATAAGATATTTTGATGAGAGAGAGAATGAGAGAGACAGAGAAAGTGAGAAGAGAAGCCACATTCTTTCTTTCTTTCTTTCTTTTTTTTTTTAGTGAAACACCATGAGGTACAGTTGTAGACTTACAAACTTTCGTGCTTGGGTTTCAGTTATACAATGATCGAGTACCCATCCCTCCACCAGTGCCCATTCTCTACCATCAATGATCCCAGTAGCCCTCCCATCCCCCGACCATAACCCCCTCACCCCACCCCACCCCACCTCTGTGGCAGGGCATTCCCTTTGAAAGGCCACATTCTTATGACTTCTGTTGCAACATACTGTCCTATTTAGCTGTTGTCGCTGTCTCACTGTCCCTGGTTCATAAGTGAAACTTGGTGGTGGATGTGCAGGGGACGGCATGTCAGTGCCAGGTGCTGGCATGCTGCCTGGTGCCTGTGTGATGATGGGGACTTAGATTTGTTTTGCCTTTTCACTCCCTCCATCTGTTTGGACAATAGCCTCGATCGTTCTGCAGGGAAGGTGGGTCCCACCCATCTTACAGATGAATCCAGGCTTTGGAGTGGTGTCCCCCCGGCCACAGCTGGCGTCCGAGCCAGGATTCCAGCCTGGGCCTCCCCAAGTCCCCAGTCCTGGCCCTCTCTTGCTAGCGTGTCTTCTGGCTCTTGGTCTCGTGTCCCTGACTGACCTCATGGTGAGTGAGCCACTGGGCCTTGGGGTTCGAAGTGCAGGAAGGAGAATCAAATGCACAAACACGGGATCGGGCCAAAGTTCTCTCCCATCCCCCTGGACTGCTGGGGTCCCGCTCAGTTCCTTCCTGGCCTTGTGTGCTCGGGTAGCTCCTTCCTCTGTCTGCCTCTGCAGAAAGCATCAGAGCCACCTTCCTCCCGTCCTGGGCTGATGGTGCTCAGGAGTGACTCTGCTTCTGGGGATGGGGGCCCGGGGTGCAGCTTGGGTCATGACAACGTGTCGGAGCTGATTGCTGAGTGTTTGATGGGATTTTGGTTTGTTGGGGGCGTGGGGGTGGAAGCAGTTCTGGGCATCAAACCTGGGCCTTCCACGTGCAAAGCCAGTGGTATGCTTCTGAGCCCCCATCCCCAGCCTGAACTTACTGGTGAATATTAAGAATTTCGTGAGTTGGTTAGGAACTTTGTACGCATGGCCACGCGTCATAGCCACACTATTAGTTGGCTGAATCAACTATAGTAGGATCATACTAAGATCAATGATGCTAAAGCAAGGAAGCAAGGGTAACTAAAGCAGAGATACTAAAGCAAGGGTAAGACACCAAATGCTTCCTGATTGTTTTACTATATTTCACTCTATTGCTGTATTTGTCTTTTTTTTTTATTTTTTGCTTTTTGGGTCACACCCGGTGATGCACAGGAGTTACTCCTGGTTCATGCACTCAGGAATTACTCCTGGCGGTGCTCAGAAGACCGAATGGGATGCTGGGAATCGAACCTAGGTCGGCTGCGTGCAAGGCAAATGCCCTACCTGCTGTGCTATTGCTCCAGCCCCTGTATTTGTCTAAAGGGTCTTGATGTACATGCAGGGGTGCTACGGCGTTATTCTTCCCAACTGTGGCTACTGACGTCAACTTGGTAGCATAAAATTGGTTTACCTCATACATTTGGCAAACTGCAAATCAGGTCTTTTCTCCCGCAGAGAACCAGTTGTTAAATACTCGCCAGCCCAAAGTGGAGGGACCGTGCCTCAGGCAGCAGGGGTGCGGCCCTTTCCTTGGGGTCCTGGGGTTTTCGTGCGTGTGACGTCATTCTAGAACTGGTTGATGGTCCCTTGAGTGCAGTGTGATGGGCAGCTGCTGGGCTGGGCCTGCTTAGGGGTGGGGGTGGGGTGGGGTTGTAAATTGCCCTCAAATGAACTCCTACCCAAGACAGCTGTGCGATTCGCAAGCAGCCACAGGAGGGGAAGCTGGATGAGAGCAAGGTTCTGTTCCTCGAGAGCAGCTCTGCTGTTGGCTGAAGAAACGTTCCAGGGCACCTGGGAGGAGAGGATGGTGGTGTCTGAGGGTAGACCAGGGGCAAGTGAGATTGATAGCCCAAGTGCCGGTGTGGGCAGGATGGACAGGGTGCCCAAGGCACAGCCCCTCTCTGTTCGTGTGGAGTTTGGTGTTGGTGTGGGAGGGGAGTGCCACTGAGTGGACGGGCCCCTGGGTTCTGACTGGGAACTGGCCATGTGCATGTTTACATAGAGTGGCACAGTGACGTATGCAGTGACATACACAGTGACATACAGTGAGAAGTTGGCAGATTTCCATGGGTAGCTTACGTGAGGTGGGGAGGAGAGAGATGGTCACTGGAGCCCGCTGGGAAGGCTAGGACTGATAAAGTCAAGCCACACCTGATGTCCACTTGGTCTTCTCAGTCTGGGAGTTGATCCCCACCACCCAGTTTCTCGGAGCTCCGTGGACTCAGGCTGGAGCAAGGAATTTCTCTTTGCAGGAAAGGAAAGTCAGCCCTTGGCATTACCCAGGGTTTCCAGTACTTTGTCTTGTCTCGCAGAAAAGAATTTCAGGAGGAGACAAGCCGTGAAGTAAAGCAGATTTTATTTGGAGACGTTTAGAAAGGTGAAGGAGGGAGAGTAAGTGAGAGTAATTGCTGAAGAGAGAACACAGGCTTCTCCAAAGGCAGAGAAAGCCCTGGTACACATCTCAAGAGGGGAGATGCGGGCGACACGTGTGCTTGGATGCCACATGTGCTTGGCCAGATGAGCGCAAGCCGCACATGGGCTCAGGCAGCATATGTGTGCACTTCCTTTATTCAAGGTGCTTTTATAGGGTTTTCCCCAGTCTGTCCCATCTGGGGCTTTCTAGCTAGGTAAGAGTCTATTGCTAGGGTTGTTGCCAGGGAAGTAGAGTTGAGATGGTCTTTGAAACTCCTTTTCTTGATCTTTGTTCCTGCTGGAGCTTCTTTTGGCAGTTGGGTCCAGCCTTCTCTGGTCTGGGCTAGCTCTAGGTAAAGGTCTTATCAGGTCTTAGCACCTGTATCCTGGGTCAGAACAAACAGTCTTAGGGCTAGGTGGTTTCACTATTCCCTGAGAATTCCATTGCCATGGTGGCCCTTTCCTATCTTCCTGCCTCCTACATCAGTCATACAGCAACATAACACAGTGACATACAGTGATGAGATGACAGACATGGTGACATACA